CTATCCACACAACTACTGGAGAAACGCCATCAAGAGTTCTGTTTGGGACTACCTTAAGAACTCCAGCTGATGTGAAATATGGCGTACCACCCGAACCACACCAACCATTAACAGAATACGTGGATAATCTTCGACAGCGATTAAACCATATCCACCGTTACGTACGCCTTAAAATTATGAAAAACACGGAGGCGGCCAAAACCAGATACGACTTGAAAGGAAGCAGTGGCGGTTTTGCTGTCGACGAGTTAGTTTGGCTGTACAACCCACAGCGGAAGAAAGGACGTTCTCCAAAGCTCCAGCGAGGGTGGGAAGGACCTTATCAAGTCATCACCCGCTTGAATGACGTCGTCTACCGTATTCAGGAATATCGGAAGCCGAGAGCAAGAATGAAGATCGTCCATTTGGATAGACTGGCTCCGTACCATGCGGACACCGGAACGAAAGCTGTTCGGGACGAACAGAACTAAGAAGGGGGTAATGTTATAACCGTGCTACCGAACGCACTAGATTCTAGCGTATTCTAGAATGTTCTAGTGACTGGAACGTTCTAGAGTATGCTGGAATCGGACCATCGGGAAGAATCTAGAAACGACGCTTGCGAAGAGTATATAAGCGCACGTCGCAAGATATTTGTGATTGGTGATATTCGTGATTGAGATATTCGTGATTGGTGATATTCGTGATTGAGATATTCGTGATTGAGATATTCGTGATTGGTGATATTCGTGATTGAGATATTCGTGATAGTGAAATTCGTGATTAGTGAAATTCGTGATTAGTGAAATTCGCGACTCTGTGATTTTGTGAATAGCGATTCGGTGAACTATTTAAAGCGATATTTGATTTGTTTTGTTGACGTTGTCATAACGATAGATTTTGAACAATTTAAAAGTTAATTGTTGTGTTAATTTGGAATTTGCTAGAAATAAACGATTAGTTGATTTCTTCTGTAAATAAAGTTTAATAACTAATAACTGTTTGGAGTATTTTATTCAATCGAAGATTCGAACCCGTCGCATCGTAAATCGGTTACGACAGCGAGTATTATAACAATATATATATATATATATATATATGTGTGTGTGTGTGTGTGTGTGTGTGTGTGTGTGTTACATGCTAAGCCATAGACCACATAAGTTCGCCCCCCCCCCCCTAACCAAAATCTGAAATGACGCCCCTGGATATTCTGGAATGAGTTGTCGACGTAGACTCCACCTGATTGCTTCACGGGGAACTCGATCAAATGCTTCTTCAAAGTCTACAAATATGTGTAATGCTTTGCGAGGTACTTCTCTTGCAGTTGCCGAAGGATGTGAATTGCATCAATTGTTGATTTCCCCGCAAGGAAACCAAATTGATAATTTCCGATTGTGATGCACGACGGTAATTTTCTCTCAATGACGTCTTGCATAATTTTTCTTCTCACGGAAAATTTTATAGTCATCAACAGACTTTGATTTTTGCCATTGCTTGTATGCAGCTTTCTTTTCAGCTATTGCATTTTGTACACTGTCATTCCACTACCATTTGTCCCGTTCATCCTGACGTTTTGTACCAGTTTTCCCACAAACTGTAGTTGCAGCGTTTATCAAAACGGTTTTGTATGTACTCCAATCTGTACTGGCTTGCGATTGGTGGCCTAACTGTGTTGCGACAATCTGTTGAAATTTTTCTCGGTGAATATTGCTTTTCAGTTTCCACGTTTTGATTCTCTGAAGCAATTGTTTAGACTTATGTTTTGACAGTTCGACAACCATGTCTGCCACAAGGAGTCTATGTTGGGTGACACATGATTCGCCAGGTATAACTTTGACATTTTTGAATGGCCTTCGGTGTTGTTGCTTGACAGCGAAGAAATCAATTTGCGTGGCTGATAGTCCAGTTTTGTATGTTATGAGATGTTCCAACCTCTTTTTAAAATATGTGTTCAGTAAACAAAACCCGTGACTTTCAGCAAACTCAAGGATGCGGTTGCCATCTTCATTAAGTTCTCCATAGCCAACACCGCCATGTACGTTGTCAAAACCATCTGTTTTCTCTCCAACGTGGCCATTGAGATCACCTCCAATCAGGATTATTTCAGATTTTGGTATTGTTGAGATTGTGTCAGAGAACGCAGCCCAGAAGTCATCTTTCATCTCTTCTGATTCGCCTGTCTGTGGTGCATATGCAGAAAAAATATTCATTGTTTGCTTTTCTAGGCGAAGCTTGATCCACATGAGACGTGAACTAATCCTTTTAATATCCAGTACTTTTTGGGCTAGCGGTTTTTTGACAAAAATTCCAACACCCTTTTTGGCCGTCTTATGACCATTCCAGAATAGTTTATATTTTTTTGTCTGAGTTGACATGACAAACACCATTCGATTTCCATCGGGTCTCCTGGAGGCAGCAGATGTCATTCCTTCTACGCTCAAGCATTTCTGCGATTTCCATGCTGCGGCCAGTCAGTGATCCAAGTCTAAGTACCATAAAGGAGCCATTCTGAATTTTTCTGCAACATCCCTCCGCTATTGCATACTTCCCAGTGATTCTTGGCACCCCTTGACCACTTAAGGCCTGCTGGGGACTAGAGGCCGTTGTTTTTCTTTGTAATGGCATAGGAATAATTTGGGGAAAAGTTTTTACATCCGGACACCCATCCTGACGACAATTACCAGTTATAAGCGGTGGGCTTAGCCTTTTGCTCAAAAGCACGCAAGGCAGCATGGATGCAATTTTATGTCATGCCCAGGATCAACAGCATTTGTCTCAGTAAAAACAATAATATCACTCAAATCATTACAATGATCCAACCAAAATTTAATTTCATTCATTTTGTTGATGTTACAATCCACATTTGAATAATAAATATTAACATCAACACCTACCAACACCTACCAAACTTAAATCATTTTTATTTTTACAACTCTAATTTTTGTAGGAGTTTCCCTTACCCGAAACTGGAATTCCCCTTTACTATCAGCTTGCAACTTTTTAGTTTCTATGACTAACTCTTTCCTTTTCTCCCGCTGCTCTTTGTTTTGGTCATAATTAACTCCAATGCACCTCAAACTACTGCTCAATTCTTTAATTTTCTTAAGGTTTTCAATGACAATATTTTTTATCTCTTTTGTCATAAAATTTAACCATGACTGGTCTAACCTTATCACTTCTGACACCCAGTCTAAAAATAGACTTTATGCTACTCTCTTTAATGTAACCATCAAATAATTGAGAACATATCTCTAAAATCTGCTTTCTATCATGGCTGTTGCAAATAACCTTATCATTGTCATTACATTCCTTCAGCTGATATATAATAATGTTATGCATTCTCTCCTCCAAATCATTATTAATTTTAATACCATCACTTATTTTTTCAATAGTCTTACAAATTGTTGACACTTCTCTATTAACCTCCTGTACTTTGTTTTTCATCTCACCTGCAACTTGAGCCAAATTTTTATTGAGAGAAGCTTTTAAATCTTTAGACATGTTAACAATTGCACTTTGCAGTGCTATAAATTTTGTTTCATTTTTATCAGATAAGGCTGAAATTTGCTTCACCATCTCATTACGTTTATCTTTTAACCCAACCAGTTTCTCCTTCATTTCCCTCCGCTTAGCATTCAACTCTTTGTAACCTTTAAATTCTTAACGTGAACCAGACAATCATCATAGCTCCAGCTTAAGTTTAGAATCTCATTAACTTTTCCCTTCAATTCATCAGTAAGCCCAACGGTTTTATACGGAAAGGAACCATTACATACAACGCTAGTCACCTCTTTTACCAACATCTTTTTATTTCCTTTTCCACTTTTTTCCCTTGTTGTAGTCTCCATCTCAAACTCAAGTGCAAAACAAATAACAAAAAAAAAACAAACAAAACACACCCACAACAAATACAAAAAGTGACCGGGTTGTTTCCTTATAGCACAAGGCATTAACTCACAACCCCTCTAGTCGTGCGCCTAACCCTAATTTAGTGACTATATTTAATAACAATGTTAACACTCAAAAATAATTAATAGTTTGCAAACCTAACTTATAGATAACATATAATACACATAAAAAATATTCCGAAAAATGTAATTAAAGCCGAAATTATTTTGAAATTTAAAGACAAAATGTTATAAAGCCAACACCGGATGTAAACAAAACTTTATACTTTATGTATAAACTCTCCACAAATTTTGTTCTTTCTGATTCAGTTTTATCATGGTTTTTTCCTATCTTTTAGGCCGCACCTAGCATGGTTTTTTTACAACAACACTCTCTTTGGCGTAAACAAACTATCTTTTGGTGTCCCCAGGGATCTGTGTTAGGACCTCCGTTGTTTCTTATGTACACTGCTGATGTTTTTGATATCATTCAACAATATGAGTTCAGCTCCCACGCCTTTGCTGATGATTTTCAGTTATTGGTATCTTGTCCTGTTGATTCGATTGATGCTTCTCTGAATAAACTGATTGATTGTCTTATCGAAATTAGCTCTTGGATGAGTATGAATCAGTTAAAGTTAAATCAATCTAAGTCACAAATATTACCGGTTGGTTAATGGCAACAGTTGTCAAAGGTCAAAATTTTATCAATCTGTATTGGCAATGACATCATTGAATTTTCCACATCTCTCCGTAGTTTTGGAGTTGTTATTGACTCAAACCTAAAGATGGATTTACATATTAGTAATTTAGTGAGGGTCTGCTCCAACCAACTGCGTTTGTTACGCAATGTCAAAAAATCACTAAACACGTCTGTTCTTTTAAGTTTGATTTCCTCTTTCGTTTTTTCCAGACTGGACTATTGCAATAGCCTTTTTTATGGTGTCACCAAAAGGTCTTTTTCAAAGCTTCAGTCAATACAGAATCGTGCGGCCAAGTTGGTTTTCGGTGGTTCGTGGTTCGATTATGTTACGCCTTTTTTGAATAAGTTGAGGGTTGAGAAACGTGTTTTCTTCAAGTTAGCAGTTTTGATGTTTAAATGTGTCAATATTATTATTATTATTAATGAAAAATTTAATAAAGCGCTAATTCAAAGGATCTCAAAAGCGCTATAAAAAAAATATCATGGCATAATCAGCATAAATAAAGAGTTATCAGTGCATTTCAACGAAAAAATTTTAAGAAAAAAAACAGTCTTCATTATTTCCTTAATCTAACATCGCACAATAAACAAAATAAATCACTCAGTTATAACTAAAACAAGTAAGTTCAATGAATTACAACGAAAATAAGTAAGTTTTCAGTTTTCTTTTAAAATCAGGCAGGTTCAACTCCGGATCTCTTAGAAAGGCAGGCAAATTGTTCCAAACAGACGGTCCCAAGACGGCGATGTTACGAGACCCCATATGAAGACACAAAACTGGGACTAGCAGCGGGTTCAGATCATGAGACCTCAGATGCGTTCCAGAAGGAGGTGCCAACTTCTTTGCAAACATTTCCGACAAATGAGGTGGTGCAAGACGATTTATTGACTTGTAGACTAGAGTTGATATTTTGAAGATTATTCTTTTTTTTTACGGTTAGCCAGTGCAGTTGTTTCAGTATTGGTGGTACGTGATCATATTTTAAACCGCCGACAACAACCTTTGCAGCACAATTCTGCAATGACTGTAACACAGCTAAATGTTTATCAGGTAATTCGTAAAACAGGCTATTACAATAATCAATTCGTGAGTGCACGAAGGCATGAACCAGAGTCTGCAACGTAGTAGTGTCAAGAGATCTACGTATTTGATTGAGCTTTCTTATTTGGTACATGCATTCAGCGGAAAGCATTCTAATGTGATCTTTCAATGACAAATTGGAATCTAGAATAAATCCCAGACTAGTAGCTTTTTGGCAAAACGGGATGACACTGTTTTTGATAATGATTGAATCAGTTTCTAGCTTCAAAAGCTGTTGCCACGCACCTACCGGCAAAAACTTCGTTTTACTTTGATTCAGTTTAAGAGCATTGTTTTGCATCCACAAATCAACCTTTGATAAACATTCAACCAATCTGTCCAATTCGGCCCGGAAAGTACCAGGCTTACTGGTAACAATGATTTGTATATCATCCGCAAATGCATGATATGAGAAACCAAATGATTCGACCACTTTGAATACTTCAGATGTATACTGAAGAAACATGACAGGACCCAGAACCGAACCTTGGGGCACACCAGACAAAACTATATTGACCTCGGACACTTTACCACCAAATGATACTTGCTGAGTTCTACCAACCAAATACGATTCAAACCACCTTAACACAGCACCAAAAAATCCAAAAGTAATGCACAATCTCTCTAAAAGTATTTTGTGATTTACACAATCGAATGCGGATGACATATCGAGGAACACCATCATAGACGTCTTCTGTTGATCGATAGCCCCATAGACATCAAACGGAACCTTTAATAGAGCCGTTTCAGTTGAGTGGTATTGCCTGAAACCTGATTGATAAATCGGCTTTAAATGATTATTCTCAAGGTGAGTGAGTATCTGTTTAACAACCACACGTTCAATTATTTTAGATATGAAAGACAGATTGGATATCGGTCTATAGTTTTCAACATTATTCTCATCAAGATTGTGTTTTTTTAGTAGTGGAGTTATTATAGCATGTTTGCAAACAGAGGGAAATTTACTTTGATTTAAACACATGTTGACAAGGAATGTCAAAAATGGCGAAAATAGATTAATAAACTTTTTGAGTATGTGAGTCAGTATTGCATCTTTTTGAGAAGACTTTGTTGGTGAATTTTTTACTATGTTGATTATATCTTCTTCAGAAACATCTGAAAATGTTGCGAACAAATTTTTGAGATTTGATCTGCAATCAGACGAGTTAGACCGAACTTTGATTTCGATGCTATCACCTTACTCAGTTTGTCGTTGAAGAAGGACATAAATCGATCTGGCGTAAGTTCATGCATACTAGAAGAATGATTGTTATTATGATCTCTGCAGAGAATTTTATTCAAAACTTTCCAAAGATTTTTAGGTTTTGTCTTGTTCTCTTCGACAATCCTAGTCCAATATTTGTGACGTTTCTCTGAAAAAAGTTTTGATTTATTTTTCAAAGCACATAGCACATCTCCATTCCTCACGATGAACTTGTTGCAAAATATTTTTAAAAATTTGTTCTTTTCTTCTACAAGCACGTTTACAAAACCTGCACTCATCATCAAACCACGGTGCCAATTTACCACGATTGGTGACTACCATATGGATTGGTACAACTCTATTGATCACACAATTTATTTTGCTGGTAAACAACTGCAGTTCTTCATCAATATTCTCTGTTGAACATGGTTTTGATATTGGAGAGTCAAGAACAAGTTTAACGAATTCATCCTCATTCAAACGATTCCATAATTTGACTACTTTTTTATTCTTGACGTACAATTTTGAGTCATTGATAGTGCAATTTTAATGAAACCATGATCAGAGTGGATTCCACTTGGATATATTATACAGTCTTGGACAGGAAGATTGACTGAAGTGACTATTAAATCCAGTGTACCACCATGTATGTGCGTAGGTTCTTTTACATGATTTTGAAACTGAAAATTTTCAAAAACATCAATTAGCCTAGCGGCATGTGGATCGTTAGTCCTTTCAATGTGAACGTTGAAATCACCTGTCAAAATAATACGAGAACTTAATACTGTTACATTTTCTAGCACCAATATCAGCTCGTTAAAAAATAATGTAGATAATTGAGCAGAACCCGGTCTATAAATAGCGAGCAATATAAACTCCCTGTTGTTAGTTGTAAATTTGACCGCTAAAACCTCAAATGTGACAACTGCAGGTAAATCAATTTTTTTGCATCTCAAACAGTTACGGAAAAAGATTATTAATCCACCATGCAAAGGATCATAATTTCTCACACAATCCACAAAACGATAACCAGGAGGCATTGATAGTGCAATGGATGGATTATCTGAAGACCCATGCCAAGTTTCGGTTACAACGAAAATATCCAATCCATCGTAGATCAAATCATAAACGACATTAAACTTTGTAGAAATCGACCTTATATTTAATAGACCCAGATTTAATTCGACTTCATTAGAACCAGCAAATATATCAAAACCAAGACTTTCACCACTACTACCACCATCCATCACACTCCTAAAAGCAGTCCGGCCACAGCCCAATCCATCAAAATTTACTTTTTTCCAACCGGGAATCTTACAATCTTCCATCTTCCCGGAGAACCGCGAACCTTGAATAAAAAATCTTAGCATCATCTAGCAAAATTTTCAATTCACCTCTCTGTTCTTTAGTCAAGTCATGACTAATGTCAATTCGACCAAATTGATCAACCAGAGAACTTAATTTAAAAGTGCGTTTTATAATTTGATTTTTAACAGCGATATTGTCCAACTTGATAAGCAAAGGTCTCGACGTGCCATCAGTTTTTTTACCCAATCTCACAATTTTTAGAACATTTTTATCAGACATGGCGTCATCCGTTAAGTGATTCAAAATTTTGAAAACTCGCTCTTTATCGTTGACACCTTCCGGCAGTCGAAATAACATTATATTTGATTCTCTATCTTTCACATCGGACGCTTCAATCAAAGTTTTATGTACATTTTTAACTTCGGCATTAAGAACGTCAACGTTCTTTTTGACTTCTTGACTAACAACCGAAGCAAAAGTTGACTTTATATCATGTTTTAATGACTGCATTTTGTCATTCAAATCTGACTCCGAACCACCAAGTTTATTTAACATGGCCTCGCTTGAATTAATGGCAGTTTTTATAATTTCCATATCTGACTTTATTGCAATATTCAAGTCATTCAATTTATCAATTTTCTTTGACAATTCATTTGCTTTGGACAACAACTTGAAATTTGGTGTAGTCTTGATGCATATGTCACAAAACCATTTAACATTGCTGCTTGTACGTATAAAAATAACGACATTATCCGGTATTGCTGTACAAGTTGAATGATAAATAGATTCACATTGGCAACATTGCAAACATAAACTATCTTTTGCAGACTTTGTACATTTAGTACATTTTCACGTGTATCCATTGTTTTATGAAAAACAAAAAACGTATCTCTTAAGTCGACAAAAGATACAACACGTAATTAAAAAATTAACTCAAATTTGCAACAAAATAACGAAATAACCACTTTTACAATTTAAATTAAACAAAATTAAATTAAGCAATTATCCTGAAACCAAAAGCAACTATTTGACAACTTTTCGAAACAAGAAACAAACAATAATACAGCACCTCCCTATCTCATTGATAGATTGGAATCAAACAAATCTCATTTTTCAAAATATTCCTTCCAATCAACCGAGCGCAATTTATTTTTTACCCCGACTACTAAGTTAGTGACGGGTTCACGCATCTTTGCGGTTCTTGGCCCGGTTGTTTGGAATAGTTTACATTCTTACTTACGTGACCCTAACCCACCATATTTACAATTTCGAAGTCAGCTTAAAACTTAATTATTTGCACAATGAACGTCCGTCTTGTTTGTCTATGATTCAGTAGCGCTTTTGAGTTTCAACAATTAAAAAGCACTATATAAATTTCCGTAATAATAATAATATATATTTGAGCATTCTGCCACGTACACAACGTATCAATTCGAACAACGAATGTTCAATCATACTCAAAAGTTCAATCATGCTTAAAAGTTCAATCATGCTTAAAATAAATAACAATTTTGGTTTTGAACTCAAGAAACTTTACAATGGTTTATGATCTACCGTTAGAAAAATCGAAAAATTAAACAAAAAGCTAACCAACACGGAATATGCTGTAATTTTCATCAATAATTGCCATTCTGATAGTATTAATCCAATATATGTATGTATTTATGCATGCATGTATATATATATATATATATATATATATATATATATATATATATATATATATATATACAGTCATTACAGTCAGTTTCATCTAGGACAACAAATTGATTCGACGTCTGCACAGCAAATGACAATTTCTTCATTTTTTTTCAAACAAAATTTAGAAAATTCTAGTGAGAAAAATTGAAAAGACGAAATTTATATATATATATATATATATATATATATATATATATATATATATACAAAGCATTGTATGAATTTTACCGAATTGTTGGCATTAATTAATTTAAAGTTCGTCTTTTCAATTTTCCTTTCATTAAATTTTCATGATGAACTTAGATAATTCTATTTTCAACAAACTGAACGATTTCCAGAAAATTCAAGTAAGGAAAATTGAAGACAAAATTTGAGTTCATTAATGCCAACAATTCGGTAAAATTTATACAATACTGTATATATATATTTCCCTCATTGATGTATATGTACTAAGTTTTTAAATTTTTAGAACAATTATTTTATCGATATTATTCAATTTATTCAAATTACTAATAAAATTTCTAATTATTTTAGACTGCATTTTTCATAAGTACATTTACATAAAAGCTTTTTTCGGTAACCTTTGCCATCATTGGTATAATAGAGCTTGTGATATTATTATATCATCTTCTATTTATAGTATTTTTAACAAAGGAATATTAATTATAAGTTGCTTCGTAATTTATACGTAACTTTTATTTGTCCACTGTTGGAGTTTGCAGTATCAGTTTGGTCCCCAGATCTTAAAAGTGATAGCGAGGTAATCTAAAAAGTCCAGCACAGAGCTACAAAGTTGGTTCCATTTATAAAAAACCTAGCTTACAAAGATCGTCTTAAAAAATTAGAATTAACAACCTTGGTGGAAAAAAGAAAAAGGGGAGATTTGATTCAGTTGTTTAAAATCATGCATAATTTGGACAAATTTGATTTAAATAATCGTTTTAGCATAGTCAAAACCACAGTTTAAAATATTTTGAAGAGTTAACAAGACATAGAGGTAGAGAGAATTACTTATTCAACCGAATCGCAAATACTTAGAACTCATTACCAAATGAACTTGTTGAGGCACAATCAATGAACAAATTTAAAGCAGGCATTGATTGTTGGATGAACAACAATCAATCAACGAATCAGTTGTGCTAGCATGCCTGACAGCATGCTTTCTGGATAACCTCCAGAACAGCATTACTGCTACTACTATATATATATATATATATATATATATATATATATATATATATATAATATACATATATACAGTATTGTATGATTTCTACCGAATTGTTGATGAAAAAATCATGAAAAGAATCATAAAAAAAACGTCCAAACAACCAACGAAAACGATAAGATTTAACTACGAATATACAACTCCAACCAAAAAACGTCATCTCTTGTGATGAAAAACAACAGAAACTAGCAAACCAGAATCGATAATGGATTATAGCCATCCAATATATTTGTTCAAATGTAATATTGGTGAGTATGGGCACCATAATTCTGGATATATTGGTATGACGACGACGACCAAGTTATTGAGATGACTCACGATGCACGTACAAACTGGCGCTATAAAGAATCACATGAGAGAGAAACACAAAACTAAAATTACAAGACAAATCTTTGACCACAATGTTGAAATCTTACATTACAATATCAACCAGTATTATTATTATTATTATTATTATAATTATTATTATTATTATTTCTAATCTATTTAAATGGGGAAAATCGTCTTCTGCCCTTTGTAAACTTTGCAATGCTCGGCAAACCAACAAGCTTGCCCTATCCAACTGCAGCTCGGTGGCAGCATTAAAAAGATACACAACACGCCATAACAATATTCTAAAGATAATAATAGAAAAATTAAAATCCTGCGCAGGACCAGAGGTTACGATGTATGCAGACGTCGTTTATGATGGGATCAGACCACTATCATGTCTCTTCAAATCACTTCGTCCCGACATCGCACTACTCCGTGACAACACAATCAAAATATTGGAGCTAACCGTCTGCCATGAGTCTAATTTTTTCAATTCAAAACAATATAAAATAGACAAATATTCTAATAACCTCCATAACAATTTACTTGACAATTTAAAACATTTAAAATCAACGTTTGAAATTTCGCCGCTAGGTTTTTTCATTTGTTTCGATTTGTCGCTGGTTGACATTATTTGGTCTGATCAATTTTATAATAGTCTTATTAACTCTGCGATATTCTCATCATACGCTGTTTATTGTGGTAGAAATTTGGCTGAATGTATCATGGAATAATCTGTTCTCGTTGTACTCATCTCGTTTTTCTTTCACTAGATGACGAGCTACGTAGAATATGCTTTTATAATTTTTTTACCTAAATCATTTTTGATTATCGTCGATTATTTCATTTCATTTTATCTATCTTAATGTAATTTTTTTGTGGTGAAAATAAAATAAAAAATTTTTTAAACAGAAAAAATTTCACTTGTTCCATGAAGTTACAAAATTAAAAAGTTTTTTTGAAGACAAAGAGAACATTAGAACAACAAAAACAGAAATACACAAAACTATAGAAATCAAATAGTATTAGATATAATTAAATTAAATACAGAAGATTTAAACTTTGAAAAGCAATTATACCGCTGGATATCACTTGGAAGCTTGTTCCATAGTCTGAGGCCTGTCATTAAAGTACTATTTTTGAGAACGTTTCTATGTCTAGATTGAAAACTAATGGTAAACTTAAAATTTGAAATTGTTTTATATGCATTAGGAGAAACATTTAAAATATATAACTTGTAAATAAATAACAGTAAATAAAATTTGTATAAATTAACTATTGTGAAAATCTTACTTAGTTCAAAAAAATGTGATACATGATCAATTTTTTTTAACCCATAAAGAACTCTTAAAAAATATCGTTTGCACTTCGCTTTTAATGACAAATGGGATTGTTGCCCCATATGGGCAGACAGTATATCAGCTAAGGATATATTAGGGAATAATACAACATTTTAACAACATGAAATGGATATATACGTCTTAGTTTATTCACAATACCAATTGTTTTTGAGATTTTTAAAAATATATTTGTTGTTTGATTAGACCACCCTTAATCGGAGCTGATGGTAACGCCTAAAAATTTGATACTTTCAACTCTATTAATATTATTAATATATATGTTAAAGTTCATTTGACTGGTGATTATTTTTGGACCAAATATTATAAAAAAAAGTATTATTAAAATTTATTTGCAGTTTATTTATACGACACCATTCAAATAAAGAAGCCAATTCCTGATTAATTAGCGCGTTGAAACCTTCTAAGCATAGACTTTGGAACAAGATTTTTGTGTCATCGGCATAGAGGACAAATTTGGCAATTGATGAAGATTTGATTATGTCGTTCAAAAAAATTGAACAAAAGTGGCCCCAGTATTGAGCCCTGAGGAATACCAGTACGTATAGGAAGCAATTCGGATTCTGAAACATCAATCAAAACTTCAAACATATTGTGACATACCTATCAAATAACTTTCAAACCAGGCAAGATGGATTCCTCTAATTTTATAGTGGCATTATTTGTAAATTAAAATACTATGATTCAAACTATTGAATGCTTTTCTAAAATCAATAAATACACATACAGTATAAATTTTAGATTCCATATTCCTAGCAATACAACTAGACATGTCGAAAACAGCCAAGTCAGTTGACGAACCCTTTTTAAAACCATACTGACAGTCAATTAGTGTGTTGTTTTTTCTAATTATTTAATTAAACGAGTATAAACAAGTTTTTCAATAAATTTGGAAACGCTAGGTACTTATGCTATTGACCCGGAGTTATAAACCGAATGTCTACATCCGGATTTGAATAGAGGAATTATTTTGCAGACTTTGTAACAAGAAGGAAATTTGCCAAAATTTAAAGACAAGTTAATCAAATATTTTAAGGGTTTTATCGGAACATTAATTATTTTTTCAACACAAAATTTGAAATACCATCGTTGCCACTACATTTAGAATTTCCGAAATTTTGACAATGCTGACAATTTCACTCTCATCACTTTCAATTAGAAAAAAGACTTAGATTTGGATGTTCCCAAATATTTTGAAAGTTACTCCAGTGACAAATCATTTGAAATGAACTCACAGCATCCGCAAAAAATTTATTAAACTTATTACAAACAACCTTTCCATTAGAAATTAAATTGTTAGTGCATTCATCTTTGATAATAAATTTAGTAGAACCGCTACATGGCTTCAAGGTTGACTTGATCAAATTACAGGTTTTTTTAATGTTGAATTTACATAAAAATATTGATTGTAGTAATATGACTTTTTAGCAAATATTACTTGCTCAGAGAAAATCTTTTTATGATGAGAATAAACATTTTTATTCACTGTAGTAGGATTTTTAAGATATCTTTTATACATGTTATTCTTAATTTTAAAAATGGGTGAAAGGCTGGGTGTCATTTAGGGTCGTTTAAATCTGGGGTGTTTGTTACAAACAATTTTAGTACAAAAACATTCAAATGCATAATTATGTATCATATGAAAAAAATCAAATGCAATATTCATATTATCGACACTAAAAATATAAGTCCAATCATAATTGGCCAAAAACGAATTCAAAATAGAAAGATTATTCAAAGAAAAATTATAACGTTTGCCTATACTTTGAACAGTGTTAACCTGTAACTTTAAAGAAAACATGGTGAATATGGGAAAATGATCGGAAATGTCGGTTTGAATTGTGACAGAAGTGTGATCAATGGGATGGTTGCAAAATATGTTGTCTATAAGTGATGATGATTTGGGAGTAACTCTCGTTGGCTTATCAATCAATGGAAAAAATAATAAAAATTTAATAAATTATCAAAATTGATAGATAGTGTATCGTGCTTAAGTAAATCAATATTAAAGTCGCCTATTATATAGACAAATTTATTCGAAGGAAGTTTATTACAAAGACAAGACAGTAATTGAATACATAGGTTAAAGTTAGTATCAGGAGGTCTATAAATTAAAATAATAAAATTTTTATTATTGCAAGTGATAAGTTCTATGGAAAAAGATTCAAAATTAGTTTCATTCAAAACAATGTCATCGCGTGGAATATAAGTTAAACAATCTTTTATAAAAAATCTACCGCCACCACCAGATTTATTCATGCGATTTTTACATATAAAAGAATAGCCAGGTAAATAAATTAGAGAAGAGGAGTAATCATTCAGCCACGTTTCACATAAACAAATTATAGAAAACTGAAAATTTAAGTTTTCAGTTAATGAAATATTTAAAAAATCTAATTTATTAATTATAATTCTTAAATTTATATAAAAAATGGAAAAACCCGAGATATCCACGGTGTAAGGAATTAGACTGACTGAAGGAATAACAATACAGTTGTTATATAAGTTATTAAAAAATTGATAATCAGGATCAATCAATCCAGATGAAGTTAAATTAGTCATTGTTAGATGAGTAAATAACAGCGTTATTAATAGTTTGTTGATTTTGTCCGTTGAGGAAGCACCATTCAAGCAAACATTGTTCGGCCAATTTTCCTCAATCCTTATAACTTTATCGAAATCACTTTTTAAAAACAAATTTCTGAAAGCTGCACTAGTTTTAATATTTGCATTTAATGATGGAGTATTGATGTTGTTGTTACTGTTTTTATTGAAGACAAATTTGGTCAGAGACATCATGCTGAGACATCAGTCGCTAAAAATTTGTCTGACATTGCTGAAGAAGGTAACAATGATGATGGAAATTTTATAACAGTCAGACGCAAGAAAAGAAGAAACATTTTACTATCAACTAATACAAATCCATGTTGTCATGCAATATCAAAGATATTGCATGACAACATGGACTTGTATTAGTTGAACCTCATGGGCCTACGCAATATAAAATATCAGCTAGTAAAATTGTACATTGGAAAAAATTTTATAACATTGGTAATGTTTCAAAGACTTTTGCATCCAATGTTGTTGACCACCTTGAGTCAATTGATGTTAAAGTTTTGTCTTGCTACCCTGTATTCAAGAGGAGAAATGACAAAATAAAACTTGATGAAACCCACCCTTCTACGTCATTCCGGTTGTGTGTAGATGAGAAGTATGCGGAAATAGTTGAAAGATCAAGTTCTTGGCCTGATTATGTTCAGGTTAGGAATAGGGTTTTCAATAACAACAGCAAAAGTGGCAGCACCAGAAATGCCGATGTCAATGTCAGGACATGTTCTGATGTGAAACGATGATATGGAACTAGTGTCATGTTTTATTTGCAAACTTTAAATTTATGATTTGTTAATTTGACTTAATTTTTTTTTTCATTTACCCGCTTTTTTTATATTATGCAAGGATACATTGTATATTCGTTTAATGTACATTGTGGATAAACTGTTGACTTTTGACAATCATTTCTTTAATTTATTGTTACTGGATTTCGAGAGTGCCTGTGAGATTTTATTTAATAGGCGCTATACAAATGCATTAAATAATAAATAATAATGATATGGTGGCTACATCAATTGACTTTAGATGATTTATGACATCTTTTGCCGTGCACTGATCAAGTTTCTCAACGTATACCATTGTTTATACGCGGTACTGCTTTTATAGGCTTTAAATTTGTAGAATTACCTATCTTTGCCTATAACTTTTTTCATCTGCTCGATTTTTTTTTGTGTTGAATATGTAAAGGAGCATCTGACTTGGCAACAACTAAAGGAAGAATTTTGGACTTTAGATTAGGCTTTCTGCGCTGAACTAATTTGAAATTGTCATCATTTTGGTTATCTTCGGATTGAGATTCGTTTGTAACTCTGTCATCCCAGAAAAGTTTAACAACGGATGTTGGCGTTTTTAACGACCCAACATTCACAACAGTATTTTTATTATCCTTGCATTCACTGGCTAGAGCAGCGCTATAATGTATACCTGAAATTGCAGTACCTGATAACTTTAGAAGAATGGATTTGTTTATCTTTTCAACTCATTCATTATGTCCAACATTTAAACATTACCGTCATTTGAACAATTTTCCACATTATTTATCACATTAGAAATTGGCACTCTTTTTATATCCAAGATAACGAAAGTAGCCATTTAATGAAGCAAATTGTTGTTAGAAATATAACGAATTAATTCAATTAATTCCAACACCTTGTCAACTTTTGTGTTTCCTTGCTGTTTGCTTGGAAATTTTTCTTTTTTATCCTTTTCAATACAAGTTCGACTAACAAATTTTTTTGCAGAAACTAATTCCTCCTGAAAAAAGAATACCGAAACAACATTTTGAAAACACACTTCGTCCAACTTTTTTAAATTTTCGAAAAATACCATAAAACCTCCGAAACAAATAACTCTTTCGACGCCATTTCAATTAATTAAAACTAATAATATATATATATATATATATAAAGAGAAAGAGAGAGAGAGAGGGAGAGAATTTGTATAACCCAGCACTTGATGCAGTTTATATTGGAAATTTGTATAACCCAGGCCTTTGTCCCTGTGATTAGCATTTATTGTTATGGGGCCATTCAATATTTAGGTCACGCTTTTTATGCCATTTTTCAACCCTTCCCCCCTCCCTGTCACTTCATATCACGCTCAGCTGATCCTCCCAATAATCACACCCGACCACCTCCTTCTCATTCTACAACCTAACCTTTAATCTATTATTATATTATAATGTTTTAAATCAGAATAAAAATGTCTCGTAACGATCCAGTTCCTGTTCATGGCTAATTCTACAGCTCGGTTCACACTGTTGCCAGATGTTGCTCCAATGTAGCCAAAGAAATGTCTGTATCATTGCCAGCATTGTCTACATTCAATCCTGTACACAAAAAAATTAGGTGTTTTGTTTTCTCTTCCTTAATAATAAAATTGAACAGTAAACGCCAGAATCGTATATTTTTTATACTGCGTGCATCGATTATCTAAAATATCTAAAAATAAGATGGTAGCAGCATTGTTTTGCCTAAATAATAAATATCAAATATTACCCGATCTGGAACGCTGGAACGCATCGGCACTAGAGATGAGCGGGAATTGAAACTTGTATCCAATTTCTTCCCATTTTTGTTTGTCACTCCCGATTCCTCCCAAATTCCCAATTTTGGCAACGTTTCCGAAAATTTCCAATTTTTTAACTCATCTTGCGTTTTCCCTCCCCTTTATCCTATTTCCTTTTTTCCCATCTTGCAAATTTCTAAACACCAAAAACAAAAATTTTTTATCAAAAAAAAGCAAATATTAGGAAGGTAGATCTCGTACAAAACAAAATAAAAGTTCAATTAAAACAATTTATACATGTTTATGAATAATCATACTATGTGAATTTCTAACGACAACAAGTGTGCATATGTGTGTGTGTGTATGTCGACCACATTTTTTTATTTTTTTTATTTTCAGTCATTTATTTGGTAAATAAGAAAATCACCAGGAGATCTAAAAGAAAAATAACATGTGCAGACCACCTTAATTAAAATGTAACTGAGTGAATGTCATAGCAAAAAAATTTCAAATGAATAATTCTAATTGGAAAATAAAAATTTTACATCGTTTCTGCAATTGTCTAAAACATTATATAATAGTAGCAAAAATCAAAATAATATCACGAGTATGGAATAATAATAACTAATTAAGTTTACAGGACACCTTCGAGAATTTTCGAAGGAGAAGAAAATTGTATGAGCTATTACGTTTACATTGCAACAAGGATCTAAGCTGATCGACGGTGAAATATTCGAAGGTTAGATTTCTTCAAATATCTCATAATTATTCTTACAGTATATCTATTCATTTTTAGGAAAATCAGTTAGTCAGATATCTGATCTGCTGACGCCGCTGTTTTTTTCGGTGTTGTTAACATCTTTCATTGCAGATGCATTTGTCTTGGCACTGGGCAGAGTGTTCGAGGAGTTGGTATTATCTTTATTGAAGATCCATTCACGAATGACAACTGAGGCAGGCCAGTTTGATGCAGTCATCACCTTGCCATACTCCTCGGCCGGGACACACAATCTGAATGAGGAGTATTTTGTTTCATCATCATTTTCTACACGTTTAGAGTCCGGATAACAGGAAATCAAATTGATTCCTCTATTCTCACAGTGTTTTTCGATTTTGGAACTGTCAGGTAGTTTGACATTCCCAATGTAGAAAACTTTTTTTTTAATAATGGATTTAGATGCCGTGAAGAGGGGGCTAGTTGTGAGTGATCCCAAAATCTTTGAGAGTTTGTGAGATTTATTTTTATTGATATTATCTTCAACTTTTTTAGCAATTGGCGGTAAAGATATTGATTTGACTTTTTTCTTATTGCGCTGAACGAGTGTCATACGATCGTCAGAAACATTATCGTCAGATTGCAATTCACAATCAGTTTTATTTGTTTTTGACACTAAAATATTTGACCATGAAGTATCGATTGTTTCATTTTTAATATGATTAATATTTGTATCGTAGACATTACACGTAGCAAGATTTGTGCGAGAGTTTGTATCATGCGCGATACTTGAAACAAGATTTGTACAAGTAGGCGCAACTGTTAATTTGTTTACCAGCGATTTATCAAGACCTGTTAATTTGTTTGTATCATGCGCGATAATTGAAACGAAATTTGTACAAGTAGGCGCAACTGTTAATTTGTTTACCAGCGATTTATTTCTATCCAGTATTTCATTCAGCACGGCGGCCATTTTGTCACCTTTTTCATTTATTACCTCCAACATATCATTCGACATCAAATCAGGTATTTTTTTTTATATTTAAAATCACAAATGTTGGCAAATGTTGACAAAGATCATTTGTCGACATATATTTTATCAAATCATAATATCAAGCATTATACCAAACTTGGTATTGCCACGCTGTCTGGTTGAAGCTTTTACTTTTCTTTCTTTTTTTATATTATCCAATTCAGAATTCAATGTTTTTTTAGAAACAAGCAATTCTTCATGACTATAAAAATTTGAAACATTATTTTGAAACTTTTTTTTGTCTAATTTATCCATATTGTTCAGAAAATACCACATAACCTCTGAGACGAATAATTTTTTGGAAACCATATTTTTCAACCTAATTTCGTGACATGTAACAAAGTAAAAAAAAAAAACATGTTTGCGCGTAGATATTTTATATAAAATTTCTTTATAGATCTATTGCTTGCACGTAGTTATTTTCTTTGTTAACGCATACGTGTGTACATGTGTGAATGTGTATGTCTCGATCACATGTGTACTTATATATACATCAATCAACAGGAAACTTATATAGCGCCAATCAAATGTTCTCAAAAGCGTTGTCGTAGTTATATAAACATAGAAGTCTACAATACTATTAATAAGAGAAAACTTAGTAAAATTATCGAAGTTTAACAGTGGATAAACATGTTTTTTGTTTTTTTTAAATGTTCTAAGGGACAGTCCGGATGATCGCAATGACTGTGGCAGGCTGTTCCACACGGCCGGACCTGCAACAGAGATACTCCGTGCACCAATCTGCAAATGTGAAACATCATAAAACAAAACTGTTATTGGAGCAGAGCCAGGTCTGTACATAGCCAGCAAGATGAATACACTTATTTATTGATAATCTGATTGCGATAGTTTCAAACGTACTTATCAATGGCAGAGTTAACTTTTTATATTTGAATTCTCTTTGCGAAAGTAAACTATCAAACCACCATGACCCGGATCATGCTCTCTAATATAATCAACAAACTGAAACCCAGGCGACTTTGCCAAACCAATTGCAAAATTGCCAGCCAATCCATGCCAAGTTTCTGTCAGCACCATGACATCCAAACCATCAAAAATCCATCCATCTTTTTGGCATCATCAAGTAATTTTTTCAAGTCGCTCCTTTGTTGAATTGTTAGGTAATGACTTAACCAAATATTTTCCAAACTGTAATCTAAAGTTTTCATCCTACGTATGTTTTTAAAGATGAGTTCTTTAATTTTTGCATCATTTCTTTCCTAATCTTATCATCTTCAAGACATTTTTAAGACCAAAATCTCCATCAGTTAAATGGTTAATTATTTTATAAACCCTGTCATCATCATCCTCAGAACCTTTCTTCAATCCGAACAGTATCATGTTGGCTTCCCCCTCCTTTGCCTCGACAATTTTGTTCAGCGTTATTTGAACACTTTTCACATCATCATTGATTGCTTGCACACTTCTACCAACTTCAGATTTGACAACTTTCGAAAAAGAAGATCTGTTCATTTCACGCTTCAAAACCGCTGTTTCATCACATAGCTTTGACCTAGAAGCATCTATTCTCGAAAGTTTACCATCACCTTCATCAATATTCGTTTTGATAGCGTCAATCTGCTGTTTAATATCCTTATTCAATTCGTTCATTTTTTTCATCTCATCAAATACTGCTGAGTCGCCAGCTTTAATTTTTTCGGAGACAATTCTTTCGATAGGTGATGAGCCAGAACATGCAACACAAAAAATTCTTACGCAGCTGAATGCCTGGAACCAAGAACGACACCGAACAAACGTCACATACTACGTTTATGCCCTCCTTATCACAAGCAGCTGCTTTGTTGGCACTTTTTGTATTTCTATCCGTCATTGTTGCAACACAAAGTTATCAAAGTCCACGTAAAAATCGTTTGAATCATGTAAATCACGTAAATATCTTAGTCCAGTTCACGAGTCTGTAAAATTAACACAGCACATAACAATAGAGAATTTCAAAACAAACGATACAACTTCAGAGACTATCCTAAAATATCGATACAATTATAGCTGTCCAATTTCGTCGATTTAACACTAATTATAATTAAATTAAGATAGACTAATTAAATAATACAAAATTAACTGTAACTAATTAATTGTAATAAAAATTATAACAAATTACTCAGCAAAAACCCGGCCATTAAACGCAACTAAATTCAATAAAAAAAAACTCAATGATAACCAGTAAAACTAAGAAAAAATATGGAGCAAAGAAACCACAAACAACTAGAAACTAGAAAACATATATATATATATATATATATACATATATATATATATAACATGAAATTTCTTTTTAATGGTTCCTTTGTTAGCACGTGGTTATCTTCTTTGTTAACACACACACACACGTGTTGAGTTGCATAAATAACTCATATTTTGATCAAAATTAATTTTTTAAAATTTGGGCATGTGCATGGTGTTTTTCCTATTTTTTCACATTTACGTCCATCATTCCTGATTCCCGAACAGTGATTCCCTAAAATTCCCTTTCCCATGTTCTCCTCTAGTCGGCACTTTGGCAGCAGCCTGAAGACAGTATGCGTACGTTCGCATCCGGTTACCCTCTCCTTTCTCCCTGTCACACACTATTACGCTGGACAAACCCCCTTCGTCACTCCCCTTAGCGTGACGTAATTATTGAATGGCCCCTATTAGTGATTGTGTTAATTTTACTGAGATGGGAGATCTAGTAAGAAAATACTATTCTAGTTGCAGGCCACCATGACTATTGATAACCAGAGTGCATAAAGCAGTTGAAAATTGCAAGAACGAATGAAAAAATCAAATGATAATAATCGAATGTGAAAAGTAAAAGCATAATCATTAATGAGAATTTAGCCTATTTGAAAATAAAAGTATGCAAAAAAAGATAAGCCTCGGTTACAATAATAATACATTATGACACATATCTTCTTTTTAGGCAAAAAGTTATGATCATTCATTGAGCAAATGTAGGGGAGACGGGTAATGGATGGACCTTTTTCTCCCGTTTACTAAAAATTGTTTCTTTGTTCATTAAAATTCCCTGCCACTATTTTAATAACTGATTTTAATTTATAATTATCTTATATTTTTATGTTTTCAAATAGCGTAAAAAAATTTAATTTAATTTTTAAGATGGCTTCTAATTTTCATAATGGTTCATTCAGTACCATGACGGTGTACTGAACAAACATAACAAGGTACTGATTAGACCAATGAAGAAAAACAAAACAATTAAAGAAAATAAACGGAGCATTTGAAATTTTAATCAATACGTAAAGTGAAACAAAAAATATATTTAAACTAAATTCATCTAAAATTTAAAATGAAAAAGTGAAGAAATATAGGTAACTGCATTGCACATTGTAACCAATGTTCTTCTTTCAGCACTAGTAACCAGACCAAATTGATGGTCTTCTTTATCTGCTATCACATGTTCCATTCATCAACATTTTAAACATTGCCCCATAAAAATTTGTATTCTACCATATCATAATACTGACCATAATTGTTTCTGTTAAATACTGATTTTCTGCCAATTGACGTAGATTCTGGCTTTTTTATGGTAAATTCAGTATATCTTGATAAAAAAGAGTTTTAACCGATCCATTCCAGCCTCTTTATTGGTTTCCCATGGACTGCGACCTCGAGAACGTAAATGAGGGAACATTTTCTCAAGTTTTTTAGCATACTCGAATGTAAGCTGTCTCATTTTAACACGACTAAGTCTAAATCTCATCTTGGATACTGCTACACAACAATCAATAATACATTTCTTCCAGAGATTGTTAAGATTTTCATCGAGACATTTTGGTACGGTTTTACATCTAAACTTGACAAAAATGGCTTTTTTTATCTTTCTCTCAAGAGTTGAACGTTTTATATTATAAACATCAGAAGCTTGTCTTGGAGACGTTGTACATTTCGAAATGCCATCTAATTTGTTCAAAAAAGAATTATCTAAATTCATCATGCAAATTTATTAAAAATAAAATTTATCATTCAAATTCATTATGTATGCAATTTGTTCTAATCTATTTTATTTTCACTTTTTAACAGTTATTTTATCTAATTTAATTAAATAAAAAACTAATTTGTACAACTAAAAAACAAATTGAAAATAAATTTTTAACCACCTGCATTCAGCTCACAAAACTCTTATTAAATTGTTTAATGATGCAACTATTTTCAATTAAGTGGTTAAAATATATCGAGCTGTTCGGAAAGTAATTTCATTTTTTGTGGTGAAAATGAAAGACGATAAATATTTAATTAAATTATATATTAGCTATTCTGATCCGACACCTTTTGCCATCTTTCTGGTAGTAGCATGATCCACGCTCTTAAAATTTTTGGTCTTAGCTGGCAAAAAATTGATTCAGGTGATTTTTGACGTGTTTATTTGAGGTAAAGGTTTTACCGTCTAAATAATTTTGCAGTGACCAGAAGAAATAATAATCCGAAGAAGCCAGGTATGGAAAATATGGTGAGTGTGGCAGTACATCCCATCCAGGCTGTAAAAGCTTTTGGCTAGTGACCAAACATGTATGAGGTCTCGCATTATCTAGGTGCAATACTACACCTTTTTTGTTGATTCGTTCTGGCCTTTTCTGTTGAAGTGCATCATTCAGTTTGTCCAGATAATGACAGTAGACTTTCGAAGTAAGTGTTATGTTATCCAGTAAAAGCTCAAAAAAGTGGCTTCTTTTAAATCCTACCAAACAGACAACGTAACCTTTTTTTAATGGATATCGGCTTTTGAAATGCTTTGAGCTGGCTCATCATTTCTGCTCCATGATTTTTTTCGTTTGACATTGTTATATACGACCCTCGTCCCCAATTATGATGCGCTACAAAAATGTATCAACGCTACGACACAAATTTCTCTCTTTGAGAACATGGGGAATCCATATATCGAGGTTAAACCCAGGCCTTTCAGATGGTCGTAAACAGTTGAATTCGATAAATTTAACCTTTCACCGATCTCACGTGTTGTTATTCGCCGGTTTGCATCAACTAATGCCTTTATTGCGTCTTTATCAGCTTCAACCGGCCTTCCAGAACGTGGTGCATCTTTGACAAATAAATAGCCGGAGCGAATTTACCTTTTCTTTAATAAAAAAGTAAAATATGACAAAAATGCTGCTCATTGCTTTCCATATTTGAAAGGGTACCGACCAAAAACTACTGCGTAAAATCAATTGAACTTATTCACACACAAGCCTTGCCATATCAGTTGTCAAAACATAAAAATAATGACAATGCGACTCTGAATAAAATTTTTACAATAATATAAAATTTTGAATAAAATTTTTGAAAAATTTTCAAAGCGATTTTTTGAAAACTCTTTAAATTCATTATAACTAAACAGCACATTTTTGGATATTTCATAATTGTAGTTGGTCTAGTTTAACATTTATTTTATATATATAAAGTGTGATATTAGCAGTGAATACAATTAAATACAATAAATATATAGTAAAAATACAATTAAATCCTCTGTCGTGAAATAACGAAATTACTTTCCGAACATAATAATAATATATATATGGTCTGCACCATATAAAGAAATATATATATATATATATATATTGGAAGGAGACCATATTTTATACAGTATATATATATATATATATATATATATATATATATATATTATAAAATGCATCTCCAAGAGTTGCAAGATTTGTTAATTAAGATTAAGTAATGCACGTTTAAAAAAACTAAATTCCGATCGCTAGTATTTTTTTTTATTATTTCAAACTTTGGCGTTATATGTAAGCTAAATTAATATAGATATTCTTAAATTTATCCAGCAATATAACGTAAAATAATCACACGCAGCCAAGTTTACTTGTAAAACTCAAAAAATATCAAGTAAGCGATACTTTTGTATAGGAATGTGGTTTGCAATAAGTTTGGAACATTAAAACACTCAATTCAAAAAAAATTTACAATATTTTTTCAAACTTTCTTTAATTTTAAATTGGTTCTTTATTTTATATAAATATAAAAATTCGAATAAGAGACAATGACGCTTCTGAAATTAAAATGCATTATATTTTCTTTTTTCTTAAGTGTAAGGTAATTAGCATATTATGGAATACATGTTCCATTAAACTATCGGAATAAATAATTGATTCAACACATCTTGGTTTGCGCTATTTTAAACATTTAAATAAAAATACTGTGTATATATAACTTGAACAATGAAGAATGAAATGAAATTTTGTTTACTGTATATTGTGTTAGCTGATAGGAATGATATTTAAATATTTTGAAACTTCGTCTCGATTGCCTAATTTCATCAAGTTCTAAAGTATAGTTGTATTTTTTAAGTTGAGAAATTTTTATGTGATTTTTGTCCATGTATCAAATTTTTCAACATATTAACTTGAGTACTGTGTACTGTGTTCGCATATGTTCTACCCCTATAAAATACATGCTGGTATATCTACATACATATATACGATCGCGTTGGTTAGGTTCGGGTGCATGTTAGACTGAACGGTGTGCATCTACATTCATAAATCATCAGTGCGGCCGCCTAATATGTAAATTACAGCTCTAGCAATAAATAACTTTTAAATATTTTGAAATTAATTCGACTTTCTCAGTGTATGTTCCATTCCAACTCTTGATTAATAAAATAGAGCAACAATTATGCTATTATAATGTAACTCTAGGCAAAAATGATGCGTAAAACAAACAAAATTAGACTATTTATATATATATATATATATATATATATATATATATATATATATATATATATGTATATATGTATATATGATAAAATATTTATATGATAAAAATTGATAGAAACAGAAACGATACCTACAAAGATATGAATACAAGGTTAATGTTTCAGAAAAAGTTTGGCTGATTATTAACATATAATATATATATGAGTATATATGTATATATATATATGTATTTATATATATGTATATATATATATGTATATATACGCAGTTGTTTAAAAATATCATAGCATTGCATATGTGCTGTTCAATTTGAATTTTTCGTACGACGAATTTCAGTTTATTATCAAGTTTGTTTAGTCATAAACAAAATTTTTATTCATTTTTTTGCATTTTTTTAAAAATATTTATGAACATTTTAACATAAAAAGCTTTTTAAATCGAAATATATGTACTACTAATAAACTTTTCTAACCAAAGGACGTCATCTCTTGTGATGAAAAATAACTGCAATAGTAAGCCAGAATCGATAATGGATCATAGCCATCTACTATATTTATTCAAATGTAATATTAGTGAGTGTGGGCACCATAATTTCAAATATACTGGTATGACGACGACCAAGCTGTCAAGAAGACTCACGATGCACGTACAAACTGGCGCTATAAAGAACCACATGAAAGAGAAACACAAAACTAAAATTACTAGACAAACCTTGGACCACAATGTTGAAATCTTACATTACAATAACAAACATTATAATTTACGACTAGCCGAATCAATACTCATAGAACAAAGACAACCGATAATAAATATTCAACAACTGGCAATTGGAATTCTTCCCTCTAATAAATTTAGAAACAGAGGGATCATCGATATGACACGTAAAACACAGTATGATACGTAAAAGTGTCATACTGCACAAAATTGAAGATCGTAATGTATTGGCATAAAGTTATTTTCATAAAATTAAATTAACAAAAAATAATGCACTACAAACAATAAAATATTACCATTGTAAAAGCGCACCATATATATGCTTAAGCATTTGGCAACAAACACGACGTATCAATTTGGACACTAAAGATGGTATAGGAATACCAAAAAAAGCTTTTCTGTTCTATCATGCTTAAAATAAAAAAATTGGGTTTTGAGCTTAAGAAACTTGACAATGATTTACGATCTACCGTTGTGATGTGTGTGTGTGTTTGTGTCTATATTATGTATGTATATATATTGTATGTGTGTGTGAGTTCGTATTGTTTGTAACATTTATAAACGAGTTTATAATTACCATTTGGGCAAACGTCAAATTTGGAATACGGCATGCTCAGACGTAAAAATAATTTGCTTGGTTTGTCCGGTAACAACAAAAATCTAATTTAGAACGACGATTGCTGCTTCAGGCATGTCATAATTAATTTATTACCGCGCTCATACCACAAGTTGAATGTGGATGAATGTATTGCTGTGAAGTATAAGGTGTTAAAATAGAACGTAATTTCTCTAACACAATAAATGGTAATAATTTGAAATATTGTGATGTTAAAAATAAATGTTTCTTGATGATGGTCTAAAATTTCACAAACATATTTATAATTGTCTTAACAAATGTTACAATAATTTGGGATTGATTTGGCATCATTTTAAAAATTCATCTGTTAATTCGTTTTTATTATTATATAAATATAAATTACATAAATCTTTGGTGAGATCTAAAATTAAATACGCTGCTTTCACGTGGTCTCCGTAAAATTTAAAGTTGATTTAGGACATTGAAAGAGTCCAAAAAAAGCTATCACCAAGATGGTAGTGGAATGCAAATGATTGGACTATGTCAGCAGACTGAAGCTACTGGATCTCCCAACGCTGAAGTACAGACGTATCAATCAGGGCGGATTTGATTGCGGTCTACAACATGTTGCATAACCTTGAGTTGTCTCTTTGTTACCCGCAGTTGATGAAGCCAAAGGACGGGAGAACAAGAAGACACATGTATAAATTATCAACTCATACATGCTCATAGGACGCAATATAAATTAATAATAATAATAATAATATATATGTATTGTATTATAATGCATTTTATATTATATGTTTATATATGTTCTGTATGTAATGTAGGTAAGTTTACTTACATGTAAGTATATTTCCAAATATTTTCTTTTTCCATTTCTAATAAATGTTTGAACTTATACATCTTTGTAATCAAATATATTTTTACTGTCTTTGTTAATAACTAATTAATAAATGTATATTTGCGCGT